TAATATTTTGTGATTAATTCTAAGTTAATTTTAATGGGTGCGTGGACGTGCCACGTCCCAAACCTTTTTAAACCAGCAAGAGCCAAAAGAAATTTTATGGTGAAATGTTGTAAGCAGTCAGAAGAGAAATTTTATCTAGGACACTCCTCATGGTTTATGTTGTGTGAAAATGTTAGAAGGTAGTGAAATGTACTACGATGCCATTCATGATACGCGGTGACGTGGATAAAAATTATTTTCTGTTGCGATTTGTAAGTTGAATATAGAACACAGGATCACCACTTGAAGATAACCCGGAAATACGCGTTCAATGGAGACACTGAGAGGACTTTCCGAGGGAGTAGTGCCATTCCCCCGGATTAGCACAGTCGAACCGGCCAATGCAGACAAAAAAGGACATTAAAGGCGTTATCAGTGAAATCGTAATGGAAAGGAATTGGGAATAGTCTAGAATAAAAATTAACAAAATTTCGATTCGAGCTAGAATATTTCTGAGAAAAGTAAAAATGGCCGTTTTGTCCATAAAGCACGATAGAAACAGGGATTAACGAGACGGAAATCAGTCGAAGGAAAACAAGAGAAATTCTAAGCCTCTTGTCGTGATATCACGACACGATAAACGCTTAATTGAAGGAGATTAGACGGAAGAAACGTCCAGTGGGACATCCGGAGCGGATCCGTACCCTCCCGTATCATTCAATCAGGGAGATATCGATGTTATCCCTGGAATTGGAGGGATCACGGAATTGAAGGCCTGGTGCCAAAAAACTGTTGGTGACTTTAGATACGTACTTTAGCTCCTATAAGGCCCTGAATGATTTAATTAACTCCAATACTGTTCAAAAGTACCGGGCATGAGTAGTTAGAAAAGAGGAAAGAGTCAATCCTCAATGGTTTTAGCATATAACTGTCAGTAGAAACATAGTAAATTATGGTTTTCTAGCCGTGTTTTTAATAGTAATACCGTAATCTGTGGGTCCGAGAACAAGCTATGTGTTATTTTCGCATGTAAAAGAAAGCTGACCAAAAGTCATTTGGCTGATGGCCTAAAAATGGTAACTTTTTACTTAGCCCTTAACAGACCAGAAAAATAACTGGCTAGGTCTAGACGGTTAAAAACGGGGTGACTGACGTCAGCCAGTCGTCAATTGAAACTTTTTCTACGCTCCGTCACTGTGTAATGTCTGGGCGAATGTTACATATACAACTGTCTGACTGTGATTAGCGCTACATTGGATCATCAAACAATTAACTGTCTTCGAAGCAATTGTTCACCGGTGTACATTTTTGTGGTTAGGTGCGAAATGATCAGAAAAAGTTTTTGAACAGTTTCAGACTACGTCTCGGATCACATAGTCTGTGGATCCGAGACCAAGCTATGTGTTATTTTCGCATGTAAACGAAAGCTGATCAAAAGTCATCTGGCTGATGGCCTATAAATGGTAACTTTTTACTTAGCCCTTAACAGACCAGAAAAATAACTGGCTAGGTCTAGACGGTTAAAAACAAGTAGAATTAAGGTGACTGACGTTAGCCAGTCGTCAATAGAAATTTTTTCTACGCTCCGTCACTGTGTAATGTCTGGGCGAATGCTACATATACAAATGTCTGACTGTGATTAGCGCTACATTGAATCATCAAACAAAAAAAGTGTCTTCGAAGCAATTGTTCACCGGTGTACACTTTTGTGGTTAGGTGTGAAATGATCAGAAAGAAGTTTTTGAACAGTTTCAGACTACGGCGCGGGCTTACTTCACAATTTGCGTGTGGGAATCGGCGGGCTTCTCTGAAAATGAACCGTGTAACTCAACGGTCGCCCTCTTAAGGGCGACTTGAACGTGTGGCACTGTGTGAATTGGCGGGAGCACTCTTAACAGTTTAGCCCTGTGGCAGTCTTTATCTTTTAACAAGGTTATGATAATTCGTACAATTTTGCCTCCAACACAAATCCCGACAAATCTCTACACAATTGTGCACAAATAAAAAACAACATTGCTTTCATCAAGAAGTTGGCTTCTATTATATAGACGCTTCCTAAATTATGTAGAGAAAAGTCTGGTTTCAAATAGTTTAAAATTGTGTTCAAGTGTTTTAAATAGTCGTGTTATATTTCAGTCTTTCTAGCTTTCTAGTTTAGATCTTTTCGCCTAATGGGCTTCTAGAGAGTTTTTAATCAATCTGTAGAGAACAAATCTCTAAACAAATTCTAGATTTAAGATACAAACTGGGCATACGTCTAAGGCAGAGGAAAAATTTTAATGGGTTGTCAAAATGTAACAAGTAAATAGCAACAAGAAAAAAAATGTCTGATTATATCTACTTTCAACCGCGTATTCACAAAGATTCTTCTGACAAAAAATTAGTTTGATAGCTTCAGATAATATAAATCTTCTTTTCAACCAATTTTTTTGAAGTTTAGGGTGCCGCCGGCCATAGCATTGAGAGTTTCTGAATAATGATTGTAAAGAACTTGCGCACGTGTACCGAGGAACCCAGGGCAGGTAGTTTTTTTCAAGCTGAGAATCTCCCTCGCAATACAGGTTGCGAACACTGCCTGTGTGTTGTTTGTAGCCGCTATATCTCTGTGTCGTCTTCCAGTCTGAGAAAAGTGGATGCCTCCACTGGTTGTTTCCAGAGTGTATCAACCGTCAAGTCAGTGGGCTTTGCCGCGCAATCGAAAAGGTGCTGGGTTGTGTGGCCGGGATTATTGCAGTTTGGGCAGATATCTTCAATTTTTTCGTCTATTTTTGACATTCAACACTGCCTGTGTACTCGGCACTATCAATGATAGAACTATTTTCGAAGAAATTATTCATTTATAGAGCCAAGGAAACAAAAGTGCAGCATCATATAAGTATATGATAGACCCGTAGCCTCATGTCAGGTCAGTCGTTTCAACTCCGGTTTATTCTGTACAGGTGTTGTTTTTTCAATCTGATTGGCTTGATTCCCAACCATCTGACTCTCTTTACTTCTATGCACATTATACTTTACTCTTCCATATCTAGAAATTTCCTAGGATTTTGACTGGATAATGTGATGAAGGGACTCCTGACAATAACCTCGGTTACTTTGATACTTTCGACCTTCTTTTTAAATGTTAACTCAAGTGTTCTAGTAATTTTTGTGCATCATGAGGTTTCTTACTAAATCTATTATCTATTATATATTTAAATACGGGCTTCACTATCTCGCCATGTTTAAGCTTTTTCAACGTATTATTTTTGCATGTTTAAGCTATATTGTATATTGCAATGGTTAAGAATTTTTTTTCGATTTTCCAATTTGATTTTAGTGGTTACTTTACGAGTTTAAATTAAGCAGCCCGATATCGAATTAGGGGTTGCGAATTTGGCCTCCAATTTTGAATGCCCGAATCATTTTAGTTAACGAGATAAGACGATTTTTGAGATTTTTTCAAAAATTTTCAGAAATTTCAAATAAAATAATTTACAAAACTTGAAGTTCCCAACCTTGTAATTGGGTGCTGTCAGAATACTCTAAGGAGTTACAAATCTTGCCTCCAAATCCTTGGAGTTCAAATCCTGTTCAAATCCTTGTAGTTTTCGAGATATGACGTTTTTTGTGATTTTTTCAAAAAATGTTCAGAAAACTTATATTAATTTTTTTTCGCAAAATCTGAAATTCCCACTCCTGTAGTTGGGTATTGTCAGAGTAATCTCAAAGATTGCGAATCTTGCCTCCAAATATGACTGCTCAGTTCATTGTAGTTTTCGAGATGTGACGTTTTTTGTGATTTTTTTCTAAAATTTTCAGAAAACTTAAATTATTATTGTTCTTTGAAATTCTGAAATCCACAACGCTGTAGTTGGGTACTGTCAGTACTATCAAGGATTGTGAATCTTGCCTCCAAAAATGACTGCTCAAATCTTTGTAGTTTTCGAGATATGACGTTTTTTGTATTTTTTCAAAAATTTTCAGAAAATTTCAATCAATTCTCAAAATTTGAAATTCCCAACCTTGTATTTGGGTGCTGTCAGAATACTCTAAGGAGTTACAATCTTGCTTCCAAATATGACTGTTCAAATCCTTGTAGTTTTCGAGAGATGACTTTTTTGTGATTTTTCAAAAAATTTTCAGAAAAAAACTTATATTAATTTTTCTTCCGCAGAATCTGAAATTCCCAACCCTGTACTTTGGTCCTGTCAGAGTTATCTCAAAGATTGCCAATCTTGCCACATGCGAATGCTAAACGCGACTGCTCATGCTTTTAGTTTCCGAGATATGACGTTTTTTGTGATTTTTTCGAAATTCCCAACGCTATAGTTTGGTGTTGTCAGGGTACTCTAAATAGTTGCAAATCTTGCCACATGCGAATGCTAAACGCGACTGCTCAAATGCTTTTAGTTTCCGAGATGTGACGTTTTTTGATTTTTTCAAAATTTTTCAAAGAACTTATCTACAAAGAAATTCAATAAATTTGAAATTACTAACTTGATGAAGATATAACCTTTTGTCAGCGTACAGCCAGGCGTCTCAAATCTTGCCTCTTAATATGAATGCTCAAATCCTTTTAGTTTCCGAGATAAGACGTTTTTTTTAAATTTTTTTCGGGAAAATTAGGTTTAAAAAAAAATCTGAAAAATTTTGGATTCCTAACCCTATAGTAGGGTGCTCTCAAGGATTCTCAGTGGTTGCAAATCTGGCCTCCAAATTTCTCCAGAAGCCCATTAAGTTTTCGAGATGACGCTTTTAAAATAGGAATTTAAAAAAAAATAAAGTTCGAAATTACCAACCCTTTAATTGAGTGCAGTCAGAGTACACTAAAAGTTTGCAGATGTTGTTTCCAATTTATGCGGTTTTTCATGAGTTGTCGAAAAATTTCGAAGCACCGAAGGTGCGTTAAACGCTAGTTGCCAATGATCAGGAATAACAAGCATGTCTAAAAAAAAAATTTTCTAAATTTTTCTAGAAAACGCGTTACTTATTATTTTGTAACCAGATATTTCGGTTTATTGGTTGATTCTCGCTTTTAGGTGTTCATGGCAACTTTTAAGGTGCCCATTGATTGTGTTCAGGTATCACTTTCGCTGGATCGAAGTGTTCTTTCATCTATTTCATCGCAAAATTTAGAATTGTTTCTTATGAATAGTTTGCTCAATCAGTGCATGGGGACTTTGAGCTTCAATTCTGTGAATCCGAATACCCAATCGACAATAATTGAAACGAAAAACAATGCAGAATCAGGTTGCTCTCCGAACCCTAGTACTTTTTCTTACGATCATACAGATCTGGCCCGACCTGCCAAAAGAAAATGTAACCCGGGTCAAAAAGTTCTACCACGAAAAGAGCAAGCTCCAATGACATCGCATGCTCCAACTGACAGTTTGTGTCCAACTATCACGAATATCATTTCATACGATGAAATGAATAATCCAAGCAAATTGATGTCGGCTACAGGATCAAGTGATAGCGGTAATGTTATGGATTTGAGCCCAGATTCCACGAACATAGCCAACAGCCAGATATCAAATGGACGTTTGAAACAGCCTGTAAACGGATCCAGGGTATATTTTAACCATTCTCAAAAAGTATACCCAAGTACTGCCCCTCCGTTAAGGGTGCAGGTCCCGAGTAATGATGGCCACTCTAAGTCTGCATTCAACACTTCTGTCACTCCGCCCTTGTGCTCATCCCAGAATAACGAGGGATTTGGAATCTACACAGAGACAAACGTTGATGAGCAAATTTCTTCTATCGGCGATGAATTTCGTGCACTTTTTCCTCCCGAAGAAGATGATCAGGAAAATGAATATTCGTTATCATCAGGGGATTGTCAGCTTCACACATTACCGGGATTAGAATCTCAGGACAATGGCCCTGTCTACATAAAAACGGAAAACTTCGATGATGAGCAGGATGATATTCGGTTTCTCCCATCCGACTCTACTGGTAATTTATTTTCTTAAAACGCAATTCCTTGCATGAAATATTTACCCTTGCATTTTGCACGGGTTTTACAACGGGTCAGTGGACTTTTTCGTGAAAACCTTGTTCACAGGACTGTTCTGCTGAAGTCTTGGGCAAAAAACATTAAATCCAACTAGAGGCCCTCCCGTAAAATTAGGGTCCGTGAACAAGCTGTTATGGCCATACCAGCTATATATAAATTCATCAGAGCACTAGAATGATTAAATCGAGTCATTAGAAAATGTCAAAAAATGCACAAAAATTTTCAGCGTTTAATGCATCGTCGTCAACTGAATGCATCATTTACGTCATCGTTCCTCTACTATGAAACTCATTGAATTTTCAAGGAAACTTTTGACTTGCATTCCCTGTTGCATAAAATTGCACTCCTGAGGAGTGCAAAGCTGATCTTAGTTCTGATATAGTTAATTGTCTCAGAGTAGCTTTCGTGGCGGTTCTCGCTTTGTTTTTCAGCAAGTCTATATCGTTTCTGTGGCTTTTGGTGCTGCACCGCCGATGATGCACGAGAAGATAATCGGGTTAAATCGACTTTGATCGACATCTAATTTTCTTTTTTGGTATTTCGAATTTTTGATTGACTCATGGTACCTGTATTCTTTAAGAACCGTGGCAAAATTTTCACAGACTAGACATTCCTTTGGGTTAATGTCTAGCCTCATCATAAGTGGTAGTTGTTTTGTTGACAAAATTTTCGCTTTTTTAATGACTGAAGCTTAGGCTAGGTTTCGACATCCAAGCAGACATCGTCCATCATTTTTGCTTTAGGATCTCTGATTTTGTTGTATCTAATATGTGTATACCATCCTTTGGCGCAACGAAGAGTATGAATTGGGCTGAATGAGCTTCCGCATGCACATGTAGTTGGAGTGTTATATAGTTCTCTACTTTATCGCAGGTAAATTCCGTCTCCGAATTCAAATTTGCTCAGGTTGAAACTGTTTTTAGTCAAGGGCAACGCATTCAACGGCCAAGGTCATGGCGTAGTTGATAGATTCGCTGGGTTTTTACTCGAGTTCTTATGTTTTTACGTTCTCGGTTTCCTGTTTTTTTTCTTGCTTTCGCAGAAGTGTTTTGCTTTTTTTGAGCGCTGTTAGTGAATCGTGGGCATCTATAATATGTGATGTTTCGTTTGCCCGTTGACATGGTACCTGTTTGCCCAAGTTAGAGTCTTGGGCAATTTGTTGCTGAGGTTGCCCATTTTAACTGGCAGAGAAATTATTTACTTTTGCTGCTGACTAATTATGTTTTGGCTAATGTATTTTGGTAAAAGATTTTCTGTTGCTCTTTTTTTTCGCTTTTTAAGGCTTCCACGTACAGTTAGAGTTGTTCTTATTGAATAAATGTTAGGTTTCTTTCTTGAACACCTTTTGTTTAGCTTGAATATACACTTAATGGCGATATCTTGGCGAGTTTTGATTGTTGGCGTAAAAGGCTTTTGTGGTCATTGAGCTGTTCATCGAGAAATTTGCAGCTCTGCTCGCATCCGATGATTGCTAATGGCTCACATTTTGTTGTTGCTTTCGATATTATCTTTTTCTTATGAACAAAGAGTAGGAATTTTCGAGAGCTGTTAAATTTGATGGGCAGTTTTTTTTGGTGTTTTTATCGATAAGTTTCGATTAAGAGAACTAAAAGTGGTTTCTGAGTCTATGAATAGTGTCTGATGCGAATTTGTCGAAGTCCATTCAAAGAGTATGAATTGCGTACTCAATGACGTTTTTTTCCAAGGCAGCTGATAATTGGAACCAAGTATCATTAACTCAACTCTTCGGACACTATTGGGTGGCCTAGCAATCTCTTAAAAACTTCGACAATTCCAATGGGCCTTACTCCTGAGTTTTTGTCAAGAGGTATCAGACGGCATGCATTATATGGTTCTTACTGTTCGTGTTCTATTTCTTCAGTTGACAGTTTTTGGGCAGTTCTGGCTATGGTTTTGTCAATTTTGTTTGATTGTTGTCCAAAGTGGGACAGTATTCATCACCCTTCATTGGTGTCTAATCCTGAGAGACCACGTGATTCGTGCGTTCTCCTGGCTGCTTTTTACTCTTTCGAGCGTTTAAGACTGATGTAATTTGGGTTAAAGGGTATTTCGTGATGTAAATTGATCGTGAAATTCTCAGAGCTACAAGGGAATTTGTTTTAAAGGACATATACTTTGTTCGGATATCAAGTTTCGGCTGTCATCTGACCGTACCGCGTGGTAACCGTCAGGTTTGGCTTTGATTATATTTTCGGACCATCATTTGTCTGCTTATTTTTCGACATGTCCTCTTTTTTTATGATTACTATAATTGCAAGCCATTTAATTAATTTAATTTCGGCGTAAAGGGTGTCCACCCAAGTTTTGCCAACTTTGTTGATACTTTGTAAGTTTTGTCTGATTTAGGCATTTTGAGCAAATTAAAAGATCACTCATTCAGGCTGCTTGTTTTTCATTTTTTAAAGGAAAATGTCTCAAATGGTTCACACCCAAATTTAATTTTTCGCGGTTTGATTTTTTTAAGTTCAGTTCAAGTTCATTTTCTAAAAGGATGGCAAATTGCAATCTAATTGCGAAAAATCTGATGGCATAAAAATTGTGAGCGACATCTAGTTTCAAAGCGAATTTTAAATTTCAGATTTCCCGATTGAATCGATTGATTCTGAAATTCGAAAAGCTTCAAGGGCGTTTATTTTTTTTTCTGTTTCCTTGCGTTTATTGACACTTCCAACTGTCGGTTGGCTACCTTGTTTTTCCAGTATAAAATTTATAAAATTGTTAACTCTCAAGTTTGATTTTTCAGGGGTTTGGTTTTTTAAGCTATTTTATTTTTGGTAAAAAAGCCCCATTCATCGAAACAATTAGGCCCAGGAGCAGATCTATAATTTTTTCGAGGGAGGTAGATTTTCGAAAGATTTTCCGAGCTCTCCCAGAAAATTATGAAGACTCATCTAGAAGATTTAGAATTTTTTCGAGAGAGGTAGATTTTCCGAGCGCTCCCAGAAAACTATAAAGACTAATTTGGCAAATTTTGAGGAAACGGGAAACCAATATTGACCAAAATTAGCGTGTCTTCGGCAAGCGCTTCCCTTCAAAATTAATCTATTTGGCGCCTGTAGAAAATTTTAAGGGTTCGTCGGTCGCAAATGGATGTTATAAAACAATACCAAACTTAAAGGAATTTTTCCTTGTTGATTTACTCTTGTAATTTGTGAATTTACTAACCCTGACTTTGTTTATTATCATTTTTTTTCGCTTAAAAGTTTTGATAGGCCTAAATGGCTTCGGCTATGTTTTTATCGGCTTTTTTATCTTATTTTGTGTCGTTTGAAGGGCATAAGTTCATTTTAGTTTTTAAAAAATTTTCGGTTAATTTGTGCTGCTTAAGTTTTAAATTTAATTCACTCAAAATTTATTATCTTTTGTGTTTAAGAGTTTAATGGCTAAAAAATTACTTTCATTTTTGTTTTCGTTTTCCATTCAATGGGCGTCTGCTCTTGTTTTTTTAAGAGTCGGTGATTTTTAAGTAGGTGGTGATAATTTTTGTAAGGAAGACTTAAAAGTTGTTCAGGCTCAAATTTACTTTTTGGCGAAATGACTTAAGTTTTCTTTTTAAGTTCAGCTCATTTCCATGTTAAAAGGAAGGCAAACTCCACTATCGAACAGCAAAAGTGTAAAGGTGACGAGACTTCCAATTTCGAAAATAGAATTTAATTATCAGATTACCCACCAAAAAAACCAATTGATCCAGTTTTCTCAAATTGGGTAAATTTTTATCAAAAAAGAGCAAATCATTAATTGTTCTTTCAATTCAAATAGCTTGAAGGCCATCTATTTTTTTGATGCGCAAGTTGTAGTTTTGAAAAAAGTCAGTTTTCTGTTTTCTTGCATTCATGCACTCTTTTACAACTGGCTGTTGGCTATGTTTTTATCACAAAACAAATTGACTGCAACTTAAATACCTTTTTAGTTCAAAAATCTTTAATATATATCTTTATTTTTTGGTTAACTACGTCTATTAAAATCCTAGCTTAGTATATCCTGGTTATTTTTCGAATAGCTTTGTTTGCCGTTTTTTCTCCTGGTTTTTAGGAATCGGCGTAATTCCAGTTCAATTCATTGATACTCCACTTCGTATTCCATTCAATTCATTATTACTCCAACTCGTATTTTATTAGCTGCCAATGAAAGAATTGAAGTATCACTTGATTAGATCGCGTAGTTTGTTTTAAGGATCGATCAACGTAGTTCAGACTCTTATCTAGGTCGCGATGATACTTTTTACGTCTTTTTAGTTACTCAAATTACGCGGTTAGACTTTTGCTTTCTTTTTAAGTTCAGTTCATTTCTTTTGTTAAAAAGAAGGCAAACTGCACTATCGAACAGCGAAAGTATAAAGGTCACCAAAAACCTGATCGACATCTAGTTTCGAAAGTGGAATTTAATTTTCATATTTTCCAGCGAAATAAAAGCTAAGCTTTACTTATTAATCCCGTTTTCTCAAATTGGTTTAATTTAATCAAAAAAGTGTCAATCATAAATTGATATAGAAATTCAAAGAGCGTTAAGCTTTTGTTTTTCTTCAAAGTTCGAAAGTTGATATTGCCAGTCATTTTTTTGTTTGTTTTCATGACTCTTCTCCAACTGTCGGTTGGCTACGTTTGGCTTAGTGGCTGCTCGGTAATTACTAAATGCTTATTTAATTCTGGTACCAGGAAAAGTATAGTACATAATTTGCATTGCATTTTAATTCAATATTTTAGACATTCCGTCTGCGGCAGCAGATTCGATCACCTCTTCAGCGTATGGCAGCTTCAGTTTAGCCGATGACGATCAACCCTCGTGTTCGAGCTCTGGCTCAAATAACGACGCAATAGACAATTTAGCAATAATTGACCAGCTTTTCAATAACGATGATGTCACGAGAGATACTGTAGTTGTGACGCCATGCAAACCACCGTCAGATCCGAAACCAACCACCATAAAGCCAGCCCCGAAACTCACCGCAGCTGCCCCTTACACTGTTTCTGTCATTGCGAGCCATTCAAACAAGGTGCCATCTATAAAGATAATAGGACCTGCGTCTGCCCGGCAGAGGATCCGACCACGGGTGGGGGGAATGGTATCACGCAACTCAATCACACCCTCGAAGAAGCGTCAAAACAGAGTGAGGATCAACTGCTCAATCTGTTCATACAATTCAGATCGAGGCGCCAATGTCGTGAGACATTACATCCTAGTGCATAAATTACCGGAACCAGTAGCGAAGTTAGTAGTCAAGGGCTTAAGGTCAACAGCAACCATTGAGACCATCATTGATGAGAAGGTTTCCATACCGTCCAAGCCTCCTAATATTGCTCCAAGGCTCACGAGCTCTGTGTCTGACAAGGGAAACTGCAAAATTGAAGCGACGTAATTTAAAACAGTTTTTGGATTCTTTTCTATATCAATTATATTCTATTGTTAACTGTTTGTAGACTAAATAGTGCTAAGTTTTTAACTGTCGTTTTTTAAAGCCATTTAATGCGTATTCAATAATAACTTATTTCAATTCATCTCTAAAATTGATTAAATTTAGTTCTTAATTTGCTTAAATCTAATTCTAACATTTTACTAAACAAATAAATTAATACGAATTATGTAAAAATGAAAACCTATGAGTAGTCCAAATTTATACTTGCAGAGAAGCAGACCATTTTTGTATGGTTTCGAAAAAACTCATTATGAGAAAACTGAGAAATATCGGATGCTTGCCTTAATCTGAAGTTTTGTGAAATTGTCTGCTGTTGTGGTGAAATGTTCATCGTAGATTCAGAAATTAAAATAATCCCCAATTGGTTATTCATTTTTCTCACCTGCCTATTTACGGTCTGTCTCATTCTCAGCTGAAGTTAATCAGTGGCTGTGAATTTGAATGTGACATTAGCTCGTCGTTTTTACGAGGTTTGTTCTATCTTTTTTCTATCAAAACTCTCGTCACTTATTATATCGCATTTGGTAAGTCTCTAGAATGAAATTTGTATTGTCGTTTACAATTTTAAATCTCACTTCAAATAATTATGTGATCAAATAATTTGTAAATATAGATCTTTTCACTTATTTTTTCCCAACATTGAGAAAGTTAAGTCCGTAGTCTGAGGTTCAAGTTTGCATTGAGAAATTTAAAGAGGTTTGGAAGTTAGTTTTCTAGAACTGTCTTAAAAATTTTAATCTGAAGTGCTTCGTTCGCATTGAGCCATAATACTAAGCCTACGTGGTCCTTTTTGATTAGAAGATCCAAGATCTGTGTTCAATTGGAGGATCTTTGCTCAGTAGTGCAAGTAGTAAGTGCATAAATTCTGAGATAGTGTGTGGCTTTTTTCTGTGGTAAAATGAAGAATGTGAAGACTTCATTTCTTATCGTTTTTGGTCAAATGGACCAGTTTTGAACAGAATGGTGCGCAATCAGGACACAAATGGACAAACCAGTGAACAGCCAAATGGCACAGAAACTCCCGAATACGAAGGGATCAACGGCGACCAGTGTCAAATCGAAGCTCCTCGCAATCCATCACCACCCCCAGATGTCGCAAATCTCCTGCCAGATAAGATAGGGAACACAACTTTCAGTAAAAGAGCAGTTCTGAGCACTTTGATGCACATCGCCTCGTTAGTGCATGAGCGTAGTTTAGTGAGCCAGAGTCAAGAAGTGGCGACTTCAGTGAACAGAACGGAGGATGGAGAGCGAACTCCCCAGAAAGGTTTGCTGTATCTTAGTAGTTGATGTTTGAAGTAATAAATATAGCCGCGTTTATCATGGCATCTGAAGTTTCATTTTGTTTTTAAAAGCCTTGAAATGCCAAAAATGATTTATTGTGAAAGAACGAAGTGCTTGTCATTTATATAGGTCGGGGTGATTAAAAAAAAAATTCCATTTAAGTTTGATATCGCTCAATTTGATTTTTTTTCTCAGATTGATTTTCGATTTCTTTTCAAGATCAATTCATTTCTTTTGTTAAAAGCAAGGCAAACTGCGCTATCGAACAGCAAACGTTTAAAGGGCACGAAAAACGTAAATGACTTCTCTGTTTCATAAAAGCAGAGTAAAAATAACCTATTTGACCCAGTTTTCTCTAAATGGGGAATTTTGAGAAAAAAATTGCCACTCAAAAACAATTCTCGAAATTGAAAGAGCTTTAACGTGATATATTACTTTCGAATGTTCAAAATTTTTCAATCTACTTTTTTTCATTTCCTTGTTCTTGTATGTTTTCCAACCATTTGTTGGTCATGAATTTTTGCCAATCCTCGTCATTAATATAAAGGGCAAATTTGACAATATATAATTATTTCACTACAGTAAAATTGTGGTGTTAGTATACAGAAAGGTTCGTCCATAAATGCCGTCGAATTTTTGCTGAAAAAAGCGAGTTACAGTGCAACAAGTACAGACTACAATAAATTAATTGGAGCGTTTGAAAATTGATCAAAATTTTTTGAAACAATTTTTCTTATGAAAAGACTTTTTTCCTTTTCGCATATTCCGTTTTTCTGTTTATATTCTGTTTCTAAATAGTTATCTAGCTTTATTGTTCTGACTTCCGAAGAAATCAATTAATATGAATGAGTTTGGTTTTTTTTTATTCAGACCAATTACTGAAAAAAGTAGCCCGTACCGGTTAATTCTCGGTATTCTAATTACTTAAATCATATTTAAGCTGGGAATTCATCTCCATCTACCACCTCAAGATCAGGTATCCGAAGAAAAAATTTAAGTAAAAATCACCAAAAAGATTGAAAAAGAAACCCAGGAGTCCCTCGGAAAACAGTTTATGAAAATCAAGTTCAAGAAACAGATGAAGATTTTACCGCTCGCACGAAAATTATTGAACCGAACCCAAGAAAAAATGTTTAACCTGTAACCCAAAAGTTGGACCAAATAAATTTGCAGGCTTCTTAGACAAAAGCCTCGAACAGCAAAATGTTTCTATGTCGTAAAGGGAAATTTTGCAACTATCCAAGGACTTGAGTTTCTGGTATGATCGAAAAATATTTTCGGAGAAAGAATATTCAAAACTGCTCCCGGGTCCTGTGAAAATTGAAAGTACCCGTCGAGCGTTGACTCAAGTTTTGACTTTTTGACTTAGACATGCCAATTTTTCAGTTTTTGCTTGACAGATTTGGAAACTGGGATTATGCCTACAAACAAGAAATCATTTACGTCACGAGCCATGTAAGATGTTGGTTTCACTACACCCGGTGTTTTCAGGAAATATCAGAACTCGGCTGTTAAGTCTACCTTTCCTACCCTCTGACGAATTAATTGCATGCATATTGCCAGTGCGCATAATTAGAATTTTTTCGGCACCAGAATCTTGCAAAGTTTTCAACTGCTTGATTGAATTTTGGATACGAAACTTCGTCTCCCTTGATGTGGATTCCTTTTGACAGGGATGCTACCCTGAGAATTACTAATAGGTGCGAAAATTGGAACATGAGATAACCAAGAAGTGGGGGTTGTTCGGCCAAGTTTTTGGAATTTGAAAAAGTCTGTTGCCCAAGAATTCGAATCCCGACTGTTATTTCGACGAGTATCTTGGTGAACCAGCTCCGAAAAAAAAACGGCAGAAATATCAATTATTGGATGAAAAAATTTTTCATTTGAAAAATTCCCATCCCAGGTTAGGGATGGAAAAAATTCCAATCCCAGGAAATTGATTCAGCCATTTGCCAAAACTTTTTAAAAGCTTGGCTCTTTCTTTCCGCTGAGTATAAATCGGGCTAATAATATGTTTTGTTCTATGATATTTAATATATGACCTGTCTACTTTATGTTCTGTCTCCTCTTTGCTACGTAACCATGCCTAATTCCTCGGAAATTTTGACTTTATCTTCAAGTTTTGATTTTTTTGCTATAATTATCGGTTTGATGGAAACCATTTTTGTATGTAAATTTAGTGTCACAAATGATTTTTTAGAAAACGCTTAAAGTTGTTTTTTGTTTAAGCTTAAATGTGATTTTTTGCGGTTTGACTTCTGATTCTTTTTTCAAATTTCTTGTATTTGTTTTTTTAGATTGTAGGCAAATTCCTCTTTCAAACAGCAAAAAGGTTAAGGTCACAAAAATAGTGAATGAAATCGAGTTCAAAAATGGTTTTAGTAAACTTGCTGAATTCCCAGTGTAATAAAATCTGAAGTCTCAGCGGCTATTGTTCGAGTTTTTTCCATATCGGAAAATTTGAAGAAAAAAATGCCAATCATAAACAGTTCTTAAAATTCAAAGAGCTTAAGCGTGATATTTCTTCTTTGAAACTTGAAAAAAAAACGCTTCCAACCATCTAATGGCTATGTTATTTTTGCCAATCCTAGTCATAAATTTAGGTCTTATTCTCAGTAAATGGTTTTCGCATATGCATTAAGGCAAATTTGACAATATAGTGTTTCTACTACATGAGAAAAGCAAAAAAGACCTGTATTGGATTGTAAGTCTACAGAAATCTCTGTCCACAAAAGCTGTCTAATTTTTCGTGAAAAAAGCCAGTTGCAGTTTAAAAAGAACCAGCTACAAATCAATTGGAGCATTTCAAAAATAAGGATTTTTTATTTGGCTCAACATGTCTGCTCAAGAAGGGAAGGAGACCCGCAACAAAATAAGAGGGTTCGAACCTGGACAGGGTTGGATGTTTAATGAACTTTTTCTTGTGCTGATTAAAATGCGTCCTCTCTATAAATTGAAGCATGTTACTTGTTAAATTTATTCTTTTTCCAAATTGAATGGTTTTGCTAATGCGTCATAATTGGCTTGCGTCACTTAGCAATTACGTAGACTCGTATTTGGCGTGCGTCACTTAAGAAATTTTGTAGACTCAAAGTTTTACTCATTCAGTTTTTCCCAGTAGCCTTATTGGTCATAATTTTGCTCGTGTATGCGAAGTGCAATTTCGCTTTTGTAAAAATTGGATTGTTGATTCGAATTGGTCAATTTTTTAATTGAAGTTTTGGTCTACCTATATTTTTTGTTTTGGGGCTATTTATAATTTTGAAATGTGCAGTAAGAGCCGTTTTGTTTGATAAGATTCAGTGTCAATGAACGTAGCTCGTGTTGAAAACACTTAAATAGGTCGTGTTGCTTTTTTTCCCAGAAAGTTGTCTCCAGATGCTCTAATAACTATTGCACTTTTGAATGCTACTACTCATGTATAACAATAATTTTAAGCATGGTTTCTGAGAATCGCAGATGATTTATCAGCCGGCCTTAACGTCCTGTCTGAACATAGTCCATTTGTTTTATTCCTCAAATTCAAGACTGAGATATTTTGTTGAGCGAAACTCTTATTTCGACTTAAGGCCGCTTTTTGCGTCTGGAACTTTCACGTTGTACCTTTATTTAAGCCGCAATCGGCCAGGCTGTGGTAGACCTTAAGCTAGAGGTCAAGTGAGAGCTCGTCTTCACACACTATCAGTGTCACGGTAGGGGATAGATTATACAATCTGACGCTCTTTTGAGTGTAGTTTAAGTAAATTCGTCTGCTGGGGGACGGAAAATCACGAGCTCCAACTACGAATGTGGAAATGGCGAAAAATAAACATATTTTTCTTCATGATCAAATCTTCTCAATCTGGGTTAATTTTTAAAATGGCAATCATAAAAAGTCCTTTGCTTCCGTGAACTGTTTTTGCCTTTTTGACCCAATTAAAATTAGCTTTCCATCTCGTCTCAAAAAGCTTACCAGTTCCTTCATCAAGAGGTGTCAGCTGTGGATAGCTGTACTTGTCTGATTTCAGTTATTTTACGGCATTTTGATTATCAATCTAGATCATCTTTTTAAGGCTGTTTTCTTCACTCTTCATATAAAAATGAAAGTTCGATTGATTTTTCTGAAGAAATTTGTAAGGATCTTTAATGTCCAAACACTTAAAACTTTGAGAATATAACAATTTTCCGAATTTTTTTTGTATCTGTAGAAATGGATTTTTGGCTAAAATGTTTTGGTTTCAGTTTTTCTTTTTATTGTGATAAATATGATAGTTGGGCTCCAGACAAAAAAGCAAGTATGAAAGATGGGGCTCCCGTCACTTTTGTAAAAAGTTCCGAAACCCAAGTCAATAATTTTGAACCATGCTTTCGAAGATTTTAAGGCCTAGAAATGTTTCTTCAGGTACCCATCTAATATTAAGGGATTCAGTTATCATGCTGGTACCGGAATTGAAACGCTCACACGTGTTTTCAAACTAATTTCTATAAAATTTGGATTGTTGATTTGAATTGAATCTATTAATTACATTTAAAAAAATTTCGCCTATTTTTTTTTGTTTTGGGGCCATTTGTATCGTTTGAAAGGTATCAAGTCGTTTTGTTTGATTTGATCAAGTGTCACTGATTTTTTCAATTTCATTTTTCAATTTTTTCTTTTATTTTCTCCGTTAGTTTCGGCCTATTTTATTTCGGCTTATTGGCCGCATATTGCGTCCTTTAATAAGCGGGAAAAAAATGTGTACCTGTGTGTAATGAAAGGATAAGACTCCAACAACTTGATCAGTTTTTGAGTCTTTTTCTTTCAAATTTCATTTTTCTTTCCGTTTTTTTTTCTGCATTTTCTTTTCGGTTCAGTAAGTTTCGGCCTGTTTTAAATCGGCTTGTTGGTCTCATATTTTGTCGTTTAGTTATCGAAAAAAATAAGTGTGTGTGTATTGAAGGGGATGGGGCTTCAACAACTTTTTATTAGTTTTTAAGTTTTTTTAAATTTCATTTTTTTATTGTTTTTTTTTCTCTGGTTGATATTTCGCGTTTGATTATCGTATATTTATATATATTTTTTGTGCTTGTGTATTGAGGGGGGATAGGAGGATAAAAACTTTTTAATTTTTGAGATTTTTTCAATGTGTTTTTGGCTTAAAGGGTTTCCTCTCAGGTGTTTTCGGCTTGTTTACAGCTTGGTAAGTTTTCTTCTGATTCAATTTTTACATTCTAAGGTTTGGTGTGAGCTTTGTTGCTTTTTTATTCATTTTGATAGATTTCGGCATTTCTGTTTTTTTTTTTCGATTTAGTGGCTGTTTTGTGTATCACAAGTGGTGCGAACTCGGCTTCGCCTTGTGTAATTATTGCACTTTTGCATGCTGCTATTCAAATTAAAAAATATGTTTAATCGCAGAGGATTTATCACCAGGCCTTAGCCTGTCTTAGGATAGTCCATTTGTTCTATTTCCCCACATTCTAGACAGATATTTTGTTGAGCGAAGCTTTTTTTGCGTCTAGAACTTTCACGCGGTACCACTATTTAAGCTGCCATCTGAAGCTACGATCTGACGCTTTTTTATGTATAATTCAATTAGATTCGTCTGCTGAAAGACTGGCATAGCACGCGCTCCAACTACGAATGTGGAAACGGCGCAAAATAAATTATTTCTCTCTATGATCCATCTTCTCAATCTGGGTTAATTTAATTTTTAAAATGGCCATCATGAAATATTGTTCACAAAGCCTGCAAACCAGTCCTTCGCCTCTCTGAAGTGTTTTTGCCTGTTCGATAAAAAATGAAAAAAAAATTCCCTTTCTCGCACTCTAAGAAAGCAGTCACAAAGGCTTAAAAAAACATTAATCAAAATTACAGAAAACAATAGTGTTTCAGTATACTTCGACGCTCTGTAGCAAAGATTGAAATGGTTGTTTTTCGTTTTAACTCGAACAAACTTCGCTCCAATACTCGAAAAATTAAGAAAATTAATGCTGCATCGCTGATACACACCTGGAAATTTTTTACTTGTTGTTTTTAGCGCAAATAGAGCAACCTGCAACATCTTCGAGGATAGTAAATAACTACTCAGCGTTGACCGCAAAATCTGTATCATTCAGTGCCTCCAATTTGAATTTTTCTCCTCTCAAAACAGCGATACGAAGCTTCTCCCCGGTGAATGAAAACATCTTTAAAGCTACTGACCAAACTCCTAAGGGCACGCCTAACTCATTCAGGTCTAAATCGATCTCTTTAGCCAAGGCAGCGGGAGTGAGTTTCTCGCCTTTCGATTTCACGGGCTTCCCTGTATATAAAACCAAAAGGCCCAAAAATGATTCGGTAAGTAGCAATACCCGAGAAGCTAAATGGTCACCTGACACGCCGAACAGAGACCCCACGGAAGCCGAATCCGAAGAACGGACGGACGAGTCCCGTGACGACGGTGAGCCGAGTGAGGAGTTTGTGTTCTCGGATGAACTGGAACAAGAGTATTGTGAACTAGTTGACATGACGGTCGAGGCAGATGTGGTTGAATATATATACGAAGAAAAACTGAATGAATTGCTGCAATATATTCTGTTTGCGACTGACGTCCCAAGAATACAGGTGAGTAAATATCAGCGAGTTATAATTATCTTTGAAGCCCAAATTTGAGTCACTAAACATAGGAAAATATTCTATTTTCAAACCATACTGTAGTCAGGGGCGGATTTAGGGGGGGGGGGGGGGGGCGGAAGACCCCCCCTAGGGGATTCGACCCCCTGCCGACCCAAAGGGTCCCCCCCTTTGGTACTTTTTAAAAATCCATTTTTGCCGACCGACCCTAAAATTTTTCTAAAGGCGCCTTTGGCGCCAATGTATACTAACTTTGAGGGGGAGCATGCGCCAAAAAAACGCCAAAATTTTTCAAAAAGTGCCTATAAACGGCTTTTTTGACCTGTTTTTTCAAAAACTAGCCTGCGGCGCAGAAAATTTGGCCAAAACAGGGAGGACTATTTAGTGCTTTAGGAGAGCTCGGAAAATCAAATTGGTCGACCTAAAAAAAAAGGTTGTCAAAATGTTTTGAAAATCCGCCTCCCCTCAAAAAAATCCTAGATCCGCCCCTGGCTGTAGTTGCTTTCGTTTTTTGAAATAAGAACTAAGGGGATTTTTTTTGAACTTAAATTAAAAATTGGTGTCTTATTTTCTAGGAGTTGACACTTTCAATATTCGCCAACTCTTCGTGCGTGTCCAAGATATGTCTGAAGATACTCACAAACGATGCCCTACTGGACATGGTGTTGGCCATACTTCATATAAGCTCAGATGCTGATGTACTAACCGAATCATTCCGGTTGTTAATCAATATTCTGAATTATTATATTGGCCCTGATGAAAGTGAAAAATTGACCAAAAACGTCATTTCGAAAATTATCTGCTACGACATCCATTCAATTGTTTTGTTTATTTTAGAGAACAGTTTAAACGAACTTTTACTTCGACAAGTTGCCGAGTTTCTTGTTACTTTATTGTACGATTTCGAAGATGAAATTTCCGATTGGTTCTCAGCTGGTTTTACCTCCAAATTAGGAAACCTTTCGTTGCGGCTAACAGGCGAAGTGGAAAAATTCAACTTACTGAGTTCTGTTCTAGACTCGACTCACGAGCCACGAGTTCAGACGTTGACGAACTTGCTGAAAATTATGTACCGACTCACGAAAAATATATCTCTTATAACTTCCGTTTTAGATAATTACACAGTTATTGTAAATGTTTTGGAACCACTATCGAAAACAGTGTTGAAACTAACGGGAAGCTGGATTTCTGATCTCTGCAACTTTCTTCGATTTGTTGTCGGACTGGCTTTCGTGGTTGTTTTCTCTCATGAAGAGTCAACGCAAAGTGCAATTTTACTTCAGTGCCCAAGTTTATGTAGATTAATCAGAATCTTAGCTACTGTGAACAAAACCGACATTGAAAATGGCGTTTCGAATATAAAAGGAGAAGGAAACGAAAAATCAGCGACTTTGGATGCTGTAAAAAGTATGTCGCGCTTATTTGTCGAGGAATCGAAAACTCTTACTGAATCACGACCCGATTTACTGTGCAGTTTTGATGCATTCGATGGAATGGCAGAGCAGATCCAAGAGTATCCCCCCAATCAATAAAACTAACTTAAAGCAAAAAGTTAACGAGTTTATTTTGTAATTGTTGTGATAATTTGTTGTAGTATTTCAGCTTGATAGTTAAAAAATAAAAAAAATTGGTACAAAGTTTTCTAATTTAGGGCCTCAGTTTAGAAGCACAGCTTCTGCTATAATACGAGTCCAAATTTTCAACATTTCTTTTTTAAATTTCTGCGTATAGTTTCTTTTAATTAAATCGCATTCAATGCTGCCTAGTGTTTAGTCAATCATGTTTGAAATTAGAGAAAAATTTTGGACCAATGCGGTTTGTTTAGCGCATTTGGTTTACGGGTTTATCCCGTAATCTCCTTTTTTCATTTTCAATGCTATTTTTTCAATATTTTGTATGTTCTGAAGCTACTTTTGCTGTTTTCGTCTGTTTCCATGCTGATATGTCACACTATTTTTTTTTCAAAGAAACTGAAGTTACGTTCATCCCCCCTTCTCCTTCCATCTCCAAAAACGACAAAACATACGCTAGCTCCACTCATTACATGAACGAAATTGTGATTATGAATTTAATGCGCGAATGAGTAAATAATAATAAAAACTTTAATTATCCAAATTTTTAAATTTCATTTGCGAGAGCAAGTATACTTGTAATCGGGATCTGGAGTAGGCTTTTTGCCCGCAAACAACTTTTCTTATAAAATGCTGCTGGAGTTACTTTCAGGTGCAGGCTCCGCTAGCATGCTCAGTTTCTTGAAATTTCAAATAAAACTATTTTGTAGTTCCTTGTTCGTTCTAAATAATTTTTCCAAATAAGTTTTTAAAAAACAAAGATGAAATTTTTTCGGATTCGTGGCTTTCGTCCTAGTGTCAGTCGGCTCATTTCCCTTTTTTTCCAAATGCAACTTTAATTATAAGGTACGTTTTTAGCAGCCTAATTTCCAAATAATGGTTTTAGTTTAAACCGTTTATCCTATAATTGCCCTGCTTAGCTTATCGAAGAGTAATTATAGTATAAGCGGTTTAAACTAAAATAAACCCATCATAGAAATTAAGCTGGTAAAAAGCGTACCTTATAATTGAACTAGCGAACTTAAGTGAGCGTTAGTGTGGTATTGCGATTTTTCTTTTTTTTTCTAACCTAAAGAGGCACCTTTACGGCTTATTGATAGCATGTGCTTTGACATTCGAATACTAATAAATTGACACAGTTGGTGCGTTGGTGTTTTTTTACACTTGCGAAGCAAAGTGTATTAGTACGACTTTCTTTTTTTTCAACCCAAGTCGCAAATAAAAGTGCTGTTTTTGGTGGCACTTTTGAATCGGTAGACTGCGGTAGCAGTATAATGTCATGTGCTTTGGCATTTGATTAGTAAAAACATAACACAGTTGATGCATCCGAAAAAAATGAACCGAAAACAATTATCAGTTCCAAACAGCAGTACAATGACAAAAATCACCATTTCTCAATTTTTTGAAATGCATAAATTATTCATAATTTGGCTCTAAGCTTTCCAATTTAATACAAGCAAAGTTGTGTCTTCTTGTATTTGATGCTATTTTTGCTCCATTGAATTGGAAATTTATTACCATATGTAGCTGCGTTATTGGTGGCTAGTTTTTGGTGGTCTTAAGCATCCATGGCAGAATGGTTTGTGCGTGAGACTCAAAATTGCTAGGTCGCATCCGACACGTAGCCTAGCTTTGCTAATTCGAGGCCTATTTCTACTTTTTCATTGCACTTAATAGAGCTGCTCTATTAATTGGTCGTTTTCACGCAAGTGTTCGCGAAGCGCAGCTTCGACTCGAAAATATATTTTAGCTTTAAGCAACAAAGCAATGATAAGAACTGGATTTCGGGAAATTTTTTATTCAATTTATCTCAGTTTTTCAGATCAAAGCAATATGCTTTTAAGACCAAGTCTTAAAATCGTAAGTAAGGATTTTAGCAGACCGAACATTTAGAAATGGAGAAGAAATATGTTTAACATTAATTGGTTGAATTTGCAGATATCTGAAGATATATGAAGCATTTAACAGCTATAAGAAGAACATGTTGAGATAACCTATATTCTGCTTTTTTGTCTAAAATGTTCCGTGAAGTCAACGCTTGAAATCTTTTTGTCCAAATGTTGCAGTAAGTCTTTGTCAAGTCACATAACCATGGTTTTCTACATTTTTCACCATACATATGATGAAGTGCGATTACCTTGGCCCAGCAGCTGTTACTCTTTTTTCGGGGAGCAAAAAATTTGATTTGAATTTTTTTTCATCAATTTATGATTGCGTACTATAATTACCGTGTTCAAGCATGGCTGAACAAATTAAGTTCCTGTTTCGCTTTAAGTCGCCAATCTGAATATGTTTTCAAAATTGATACTTGTGCAGTTGAATCATATTGTGTAATTTTTCTTTAAATTACTTGAAATGCAGTCGCCTTTTGCCCCAGCCTTGTTTTAGGGTTTTATTTCTGAGTAGTAAAAGCTAATTTGTTCAGAATAAAAGTAATTATTATCTCTTAGGTGGTATCAGTCACTGTTCACAGAATTGGAGCGTGATGTTATACTGTGAAATAATTTATTTTTCCATGACAAGTGGCAAAAGTACCTGCTATTTCATTGGCAATTTTTCAGCGTTAGCATTGGCAATTTAATAGCCTGTGCTTTGAAATTTGTTTACTAATGAGGTACTACAGTTGATGCTTTTTTAAATTAATCTAATGAACCAAAAAACCGATTTGCTTCATGCACCAGAATAATAAAAAAAACTTCGTAGAAATTTTCTGCACCATTTGGATTCATACATTCCAATTTATTACATACAAAATTTGTGAGCGAGAAAACATGATCCTAGCGAAATTTTAAAACCGCAATTTCAGGATGCGGTTTTAAGGTTCATATACAAAAAGTGCCATACAAAACATTCCCATACAGAAAAGTCCGGTTTAAGGTCGCCGGTTGGCGCGCTGCGCCGCCTCTTCGCGGCGATAACCGGCTGAAAATTTCGTATTAAGTCCTACCCTCTGTTGGCAAGCTCGCAACACGTTGGCGCGACTGCGGCGGTCATTATTTTGTTCTTTGTTTGTTGAACAGAGGAAAGTTCTTGGCCTACCGGCTTGTTAAAACATTTATTTCTTGGGACTGTTTTTCGGACTATATTCTATCGGACTGTTTTTTCATTCTTTTTCATACTTTTCCGGACTGTTTTGTATTGGACTGTTTTGTATGGGACTGTTTTGTACACGGATTTCAAGTACCACAGTAAAAATCAAAGTGAAGTTATGAGTTCCGAAAACGTGTTCTCGGATTTGAGAAGGAACGTTTGATTATTTTGGTTTTTTGGCCTGATGTCGTTTTTAGCCGAGCGACAGCAAAAATGATGTCAGATTCATATGACTATTGTTTGATATTAAGCTCTTATAGTGGTAATTTGAAATAAAAAACAATTCATCAACTAATTTAAGGAATATGGATGAAATTCAATTCATGAGGTGGATTTCCACAAAATTTTTTTGTGGATTTCCACAAAAAATCGAAATTTCTGTTGACCGGTTTTTTTAGATCGACCAAATTAATTTTTTGAGCTCTTCCAAATCAATATAAATCCTATTTCTGTCAATATTTCTGCACTGCTGACAGTTTTTTGAAAAACTAGCCAAAAAAAGCGTTTTTAGATACTTCTTGCAAAATTTTTCATCCAAAAATTTCGTTTCACACAATTTTCACAAAAATGGATATCACAAAATAGTAAGTAGGGGTTTTTTTTGGGTCGGCAGGGGGTCGAATTTTTAAGAGGTATGCCCTTAGTTTTGCTTGCTATGAAATTCTAAGGGGTCACCCTTTTGGCAAGGGTTGGGAAGTTATTTAAAATAGTTCTTTAAATTTTGGGTTGAATGATATGAATTTTTATGAGTGCTAAATTTTTTCAGTTAGGTGCTTTTGACTAATTTAAGGAACTCTTCAACGTAATTGTTTCACGTGTGGGAAGTTCAGAGCCCAACTTGGCGTCAAGAAAGCTGGAAAACTGGAGTTTCTCTTCAAGAAACTTAATGCTTCTTAATGTGTTGAATTATTAAACAATTTAACATAAATAACATGTTTTTTTTTCAATAGTTAACTGTTAGTTTGCTATTTTAAATATTAACTTACAATTTGCTAACCCTGCTTTTGGTACTAATTTACCACAGCGGTTTCTCGCCCATCAATCTTTTTTATAGGCGCCTTATCAAATTTTTTTTATAGGCTCCTTCGGCATCAATACATACCAATTTTGAGAGGGGGCGCGCACGTAAAAAAAAGCAAATTTTGTTTCAGAACTTGCGGGAGAGCTTGAAAATTCAAAATGGCTAATTTGAAAAAAAAATTCGACTAAATAATTTGATCCCCCACCCCGTCATAAACCTACTGCGCATGTACGGTCTTGCTCTGAGTTAATGTTCCGACCACTCGAAGAGTGAAAATGAACTTTGTATTCAACGAACTTTTTCAGCCAATACTGACTACTTCAAGGATTCAAGGAAAGCTTGTAGGGGGTCAGTCAAGTCTGGTATCATATTCAAGCCCTGTTAGTCGTGATTTAACCTTTTTAAAAATCCACAAAAAGCAGTGTGGATTTTTTTTGCATATCTAAATTACATGAAATTTCATGAGAGGCTGACCACTAAACTGTGACGTTTATTTAAGAATAATTAGCAATATTTTTTGCATTTTTGCCCTAATTCAAAAATGCCGTTTCTAGAAAAGAAAATAACGTTAAATTTTGACAAAAAACCCAAAAGTAGGTTTTTCAATGTTTTGTCATTTTGGATTTCTTGTATCAGTTTAGTCGTAACAGTCGGTGCTTCTTGCACAGCAACCGGCTATTCTTGTTCTCTTAAGCATATAGCTATATTCCCAACGCGTCAAAACTCAGGGCCAAAAAAAATCAAATACTAAAATTAAGACATCAAGAAAATACAAAACTAGGATATGGAGTTAAACATAGCTGTTTTTGTGATGTTAATTTAAGTAAGCTTTCAGAGTTTCTTAGATATTTTGAACCAATTAAAAGGAAGGCACCTCGAATATTCAATCAGATTTTGAACATTCAATCTCAAACAGTTTAAGTTTGCATTGAACTTGAAGGTTGGGTAGTTTTTATTTATTTGGAGAGTAGATGCAGTTTGTAGAATTGTTAAATGAAGTGACAGCAGGACTGCTTGATGCAGTAGTTGCTTCGAAAATTGAGTTCGCATTACCAGCTGCGAATTTGGAATAATCGCTGAGTTTCATTCGCTTCGCCATGAAACTCCCTGGAGCCCTTTTCGGTTTTGGTTTGTACTTGTAGCTGGGATATTTTTCCAGATGTTGTTTAGCCAGTCGTGCTTGTTCGTCATAGTATGGCTGTTTTTCCTGAGGGTTCATGTTTTTCCAACGTGCGCCTAAAATTTTGCTGATAGCTGAATTGTGCATGTCTGGGTTGCTCGCCAGAATTTTCCGTCTCTCTGCTTTCGCCCAGACCATGAAAGCATTCATGGGTCTCTTAATATGATCGGCTGTTAAAGGAGGACTCTCCGAACTCTGAAAATCTGATAAGTTGGGGCTATTTAACGCCTGACTTTGTATATTTTCTGCCATTTGGTTTGCTTCGGTTTTAGGTGCCGTTGTGACTTTAGCTGGATGTTTCTGAATAACCGTATTTCGACCCTCATCTAAGTTAGACCTTTGAAATGGTTCTGCTAATTTATTAGCAATCTGCTGCGTATTGCGATCACTAGATGTGATTTTTCCAAAATCCGAGGTTTTTAATTCGTGTTTATAGTAATTCGCCTCTTTTTGCTCGCATTCGGTCGAGAGTTTTGCTTGCTGTTTCTTGGATGTTTTCATTTCTTCTAAGTAGACAGCTGGATCTTTGACTTTACCAGTGGTCTGATTTTTCACTGGCAAATTATTCATATGTTCCATTCCATTAAAAGACGTGCCATTTATGTGACCACTGGTACTGTGCGGAGAAATTCCAGTCAAGCTCTGAATTATCTGCTGCAGTGGATTCGCGTGCGATCCGACGGACTGTGGATTTGCTGCCATAAATTGCATGTGCTGAGCCGGCAACAACAAACTGGCGGCCAAACCTGCCGCAGCTGCGCTTTGCTGTTGGGCTTGGGTTAAGTGCTGGTGGTTGTTGGGTGATAGTTTACTCTCATTAGGTAGTTTATTCGGATCCTGAATCAAGCCACCGTTTGCCCCCATTATATTGTTACCATCCGCGGGGGATGGGTTGAATGCATTGGCCGTGGATGAAGTGATGGTGTTGAAGAGAGGAAGCATCTGCAGAAGTGGGATTTGTGACGTCATCGAAGTGATCACGTGGTTCACCTGAGTCTGAATTGAGGAGAACTTCTGTTGCTGCAGGAATAGCTGCTGTTGCATGAGACACAGTTGTTGTTCGTTGTGTTTTTTCATCTCCAGCATTTGGTGTTCTTGCTGCAATTGACATCTTCTCACATGTTTTATCTCATCCTGAAAATCCAAAAATGTCTAATTAAAAATAACCGCAAAAATTGCCTATAGGCATCTTCTTTAGGGGCACATTAGCAATTTTCCATTCAGGGCTGAAGAAATAGAATGATTTTTTGTTCCCTAAAGGAGATTGACTATTCGTTCCCTAAAGGGTACATTGAACTAAAAAAAAATAAATGTTTGCCGAAGTTAGCTTATATTATAAATAAAAAACTGTTCTTAGAGATGTTAAAGGTTTTACAATACATTGATTCTAAAAGTATGAAACCTATAGCGGGAGTAGTTTGGCTTAAAGCTATCATAATTTAAATTTTAAAAGCGATGTGTGTCTGCACTCGGTTTTATTTGATCAGCTTTTTTTTCGAGCGAACACTTTTTCTTTTTCCTCCCCCACCATTTATCACTAATATCAGTTTTATATAGCAGTTATTGACTTAGCACATTACGTACGAGTGCAATAATTACCTGGAGCGACTCAATTTGTTCCTGGCATAGGCCATCATTGCAGTTCGAAACTTTTGCTTCTGCTGGTAACCCATTGCTACTATAATTATGCGCTATGGTCTCTCCATTCGAATCTGTGTAGCTATTCAACCGACAAAAGTCCGAATTGGGAGAGCCTGACATTTTTAGGTTCGGCGACTCGAATGCCGAGTTGGTGACCGAAGACTGTCTCGGTTCGATTGACTCGACCCCAACTAGATTTGTTTCCTGCTCTCCCTTCTGGATTTTTGCCAGTTGCTCCTCCACCTCACAAATGAGATCGTTTCTTTCATGGTCCATCGGAACATTCGTCTCTTGGTCTGGGCAAATGTACTCTTCTTTACACGTGGGGATGTGTTCGGCTATGACAAGTTCAGGCGTGAGATCGACTGCAGACATTGTTTTTGATATCTGGCAGTTTCTTTACTTCAGTTCTAAACAAATTTACTCAATTATTGTTTTTAGCTATTTATAATACAAAGTTAAAGTATATTTTTGGGTTTCCTGGTAGATGAAAAATGGTTCCGCGATTTCTATAAAAATTTCGAAAATAAGGAAAAAATGCACAGTCTCTTTTCGAAGATTTAAAGGCCATTTTTGCAGGGAACATCTAAATTCTGAAGAAACCGCTATCATACATGTACTCGGTTCAAACAGGTTCCCTGAAATAGAGATGAATCCCTGAAGAAAAATGTGTGCCCTTTACAATTCCTTTGGGAATTGATTTTTAGTGAAACTTAGCTAAAAGTACAGAAAAAAGGTGGTAGTTCATTCAACCGATGTATCAGCAAACCGAAAGCAAGCCGACCAGCTCAGTAAACTAAAATTTTACAATTATTACATCATTCAATTACATAATCACATAAAATGAATCTCAGATTTGTACAAAAAGTCGTATTTCATTTGCAATACAAAAATTCGATCAAGTTTTGATATAAATTGACCGTTTTCATGAACTTTACAACCTTCCATTTTTCATTTTAGCTCATGAAAGATCAATTCTATAAATCTTTGAAAATGCAAATTAAATAATTTTTACGTAATTCGTTTTACTGGTCTGGTAAATTACTGATACATTAGTTTAATGAAAGCATACCGATTAAACAAACAGAAGTTATGTTGATTTTGGTCCATTAATTCAAAACTTGTTTAAAAAAATCTGAGGTGAATTTTCAGTGCGAAATTGTATCAACTTACCCGTCCGATTCAATCGTATGCTGTTCTGTTTGATAAGAATGTTTGAAAATGACTGTCTCTTATAACAATAGGAAGACGTGTGTTACAATAAGTGTGCATTGTGTTGCTGTTATGAAATAACTCGGAGGATACTCGGAGACAAAAGAGAACAATGTGCGATTTGATTGCTCTCACAAATTCGGACTCTCTTTGTCCATAACTAGTGCTTCCTCGGCAATACTACTCACTACATACACTAACCAGTGTTGGGGTGTTATTAACATCAGTGTTATTTACACTGTTATTAACACATGTTATTAACGTTATTTACACAGCCGTGTTATTAAGTGTGATTTACTTCAGTTTGAAATGCCTGGATCGAACGGGTTTTCTCAACAATGGGTTTTGTACACTCGGACTTACGTAATCGTCTTGGTTCTGAGAAGGTCACAAAACTTGCATTCTGTTTGCGTTCGCTGAAATCTCAAGACAATTGAATTTTTCGCGAATGAATTCTGTTTTTTGAGTAAATCACAGTTATTAACTGTTAAAAACGTTAATAACGTAAATAACGTTAGAAACTCGGGCGAGGGTGTAATAAACCCAACACTGACACTAACACTAACTAAGCCACTGTTCTCATCGATTTTTACCGGATTTTTCTATCCTATTCTCTCATAAAGCGACCCCACCCCCCTTCAATTACTTACTCAAACATTTAACGCGAACGCCAATTTTGAATTAATAAAAAATTATTAGTATTTTGTTTAAAATAAATTATTTCTTGACACTTCGTTTTTACCTTTTGAACAAAAACTTACAAACAAATTATTTTTATTTTGAAAGATTTGGCAAAAAATAAGCAATTTCAAGTAATTTCTAAAAAGTACTAATTTTATATCCAATTTTTAAATTGAATTGACATTTATTGAACTCATATGATTGAAAAATCATATGAGTCGACGGCATACATTTCGAGGCTCCGTAAAGACAACTGTATGATTTTTTGGGCAAAAAAAGAAGTTGAAATAAGAGTAAGAGTAATGGGAGCTAGTTGTGTAATAAAAGCAAAGTTCGATTTAAAACCTCAATTTGCGCTCCAGCGCTTCTCCGTGGTATATGGCTTAGAAAATGGTGGTTCGATTTAAGAGATAAGAAGTAGGCATGCTACAGTAATCATCGCACAATAGCCGTTGTTGTTGCGCTAGTGCTTTGTTGCTTACCAAAAAAGAGCTCAGACAATATATTACAATAAAAACAGAGAGAAATAATGAGAAAAAAGTGAAGAAAAAACGGAAAAGGGACTTGGAATGACAATAGCAATATCGTACAAAAGGAAGGCGCAATAAGAGGTAGTAACAGAGACAGAGAGCGAAAGTAACTAACTAAAAGTGTCCTTTAGTGGATGTTTTTTATTGTTCACTTCATTTCTTTCCCATTTCACTTCTTCCTTTTGCATTATTCTTTTTGTCCCTGCTTTGTCCACACGTCTTTTTGTCTTTGGACCTCTCTTCTCTTAAGTAGTCTAACCTCCGCTTTCAATCAGTAGTAGTATGCCCCTTGGAGAACAGGCTTGCGAATTATAATTAGCAGGCTAGATAGCTAGAGTCGCTTAGGGTAATATTTCACGTACCGAAATGTGAAAATGCGCCCCCAGCCCAAAAAAAATCGATGCAAGGCAATACTTACATTGTGTAAATACAGTCTCGCTCAAAATTTGTCTAGACAACCGTACTTGCCGAGGAGTTCCAAACGCGATTGCGGTGCATCCTAATTGAGATAATTTTAGAACACCACTTCATAATTTGATTGTAATAAATTCGAAATCAATATTGCATGTCATATTTTCGATATTTTTTTGATTTTCAATAATTTGAAATCATTCTTAAACAATCGTGAAAATTTTGCGGTTACTCGTATCGGAAGAAAATTTTGGTTTATTTTTAAAATTTTGGTGTTGGAAAATCCTCCTTAACATAGAATCTTATTTGAGACCAAATTTTTTCATCGAATGCGACAGCACTTTTTCTTAAATTAAAACCAGAATAAAATTTTGTCTAAGTTATACAGTATAAAAGCTATATGTTTTTTTACATGTGCGAGAGCAGGCGTCTTGTAATCGGGATCTAGACTTTTCGACAAATCGGTTAGAATAAAGCTCTTTCGGATGAGTTTTCCAATGATAAATTTTAATTATGGAAAAGCGCGTGCTTGTACAATGACGTATATAGCAACGTGGCAGGATTTTTATTGGAAATTGTTCCTCCAAATTTTTGCGTTTTAAATCTTCGATTATGAATTGCTTAATATCCTTGCTATATTGGGCTTTGTTCACAGAATTTGCTAATGAAAATGTTACATTTGTTTCAACTTGCTTTGATTTCTTGTAATTGGGAACAAGATTTTTCACACGTAACTAACTTTTCTGAATAACCTGTAAGAACTTGAACTTGCTTCATTATAGAACCTTAAAAACTTCCAGTCTCTTTCCCAGTTAATCTAGGGATAGCGCTGCCTTTGTACCCTAGAGCCAGGGGTTCGAGTCCCGGTCGGAGCTTGTTTTTTTTTCAGTTTGTATGAAATTGAATTTTTTTCCCAGTAAAAACAATTTGCCGGACTTTTGTTTACTATAATTGACAGTCGTCCTGTTACTATGTCATTTTACCAACAATTTTGAATAGATTTTTCTTGGTAATGGTTTTGATTTATGTTTTATCAGCTTAGTCAATTTACTTTGTGTTTTTTCTTACAATACAATAATGATGCAGGACTGCTTTGGAAATTTAAAGTTTTTAGAACTTACTTGCTGAAAAAAATTAAGACAGCCTAAGTTTTTTTGCAAATCGGAGAGGTTCTGCTTGTTCGCACTATTTTCTGTTTATTGATATTTGTGGAAATGCTTACTGCAGCATGGGCTGCTAAATTACTGCTGATGTTTTTGATCCGACCTTCGAAGAAAGTAAGGAATATATATGCTCGCGTTGGTTTTTTTTTATTCAGATCAATTTTCAAAAATATTCCCCTCGTGGGATCGATTCATGGATCATCGAGCTCCCAGAAGGGGCGCACTCACCACTAAATTATCCTGACTTAAGATTTGGTGTGAGACGCTCACTAATAGACTAACGTGACTAAAATGCTGTGATACTTTGATGCTGAAAGTTTAAAGCGCATTATTTACGCATAATGAACTATCACGCAAATTGTTTCAAATTCAATTGAGGCAGGCTAATTGATCTTATTTAAAATTCATACTTTCTCAATATTTCAATAACCGAAATTTATTTGAGACTATTTTATGGACAGCCGTAACATTCAAGACTTTGCCCTGATACGAGCAGTATTGTTTTTGTTTTACCGTCAAATTTTCTGGAAAAAATTTTATTTAAAAAAAAACAGAAACTTTTCAAATCCAATTCTTGCTACAGAACTTGTGGCTGATGAAACAAAATATTCTGACCCAAAAGAATAAAACAACTCAGAAAAAGTTTAAATAGCCACCCATTGTTGAACGGGGCTGTTAAATAGAAACTCTATAGCACATTGTACTTACGTGATATTTAAAATTGTTTACAAAATGCCAATTAAGCTCTTTCTCCTTAGTAACAGCAAGTTTGATTGAGTATATTTCGCTAATGAACTTCTTTATTTTTGTGCTGAAATAAAACCAGCCAATATTTTTCTTTGTGGGAAGCGGGGAAAATCAAACGAAACAATAAAAAATAGCTAATTTGTATCACATTACCTCTATTATTTAAGAATAACAGCCAAATGGATAAATTACATTTTATGGGAAATTTTAAGTTGGCGTTGCAAAAATTACAACTTCCGCTGGTGCCCGATGAATGGAAGAAAAAATCAACAACAAAACAAATTGATTATTTATTCATCTTTGAAGCCTCCAAACAAACAAACAGAATGAGCGTTTATTTCATCAATGCAACAAAAAAACTAACGGCGATTTTTCTAAGTTTTCATCTGTTTTTCATTAATTTAAGACAACAAAAATAAACAATCGTGTATAAAAGTAATCGCATATCCTGTGTCTGATTTCAGACAGTTGTCTTTGAATCGGCAAGACGTCAAAAATTATCAGGTATAAAAAGCGCCGAGGCTTAATCAATTCAGTTCCAGTTTATAAGTTTATAGTGGTATCAAATCCACTCATGGAAGAAACGAAGATTTTGGAGAAGTTGAGCTGCGTCAAGTATAAACAGGATGGTACGAATGAAAGATATGAGTGACAAGAATGTTCCGACCACGCTAATCATTCCAAAAAAAGACAGGAAAACTCAAATAAGCATAGATTTGTATAGCAATTTTTTAAAGCAAATAAAAATTCCGCGCAGATTATAATACTCTTTGAAAGCATGTTTATTAACTATTTTTGATTAACAACTTGAAGCACTTTTCATCACAGAACTGAAGTGTTTTTGCCAAATTGTCCGTTCCTTGCTAAAATTGAGCCTCAATAGCAAAAAAATTGGACCACTTTTTCTAGACAACGAGAAAAGTTTTTCATTTTTTTAGAATACGATTCACGACTAAAACAGCTTTAAAATGGTATTACACGATATCACCTGTTTTTTGAGATACCTCGAAACGCTTTTAACAACTCACTCTACGCTATAGTTCCTTCAAATCGTCGAAAAAATAACATGATCGATTAAAACAAAATGAGCCGGTTACTGTTCAAGTAGCTCAGTATGTTTTGACCACATCTCTTTTTTTCTATTCTTTTTCCCTATTTGTTCTGACTTTCGAATAAAATGGTAAAATATGTGCTCAGATGGTTTTTTCTCCGGAAAAAAAATTGATTATCACGAGTAATTTTAAACGGATTTTTTTTTTATATAGTCTAAGAAATAATAATGACTTGAGCTTAACATTTTCAAGATCTTTAGTTTGATTTTGTTTCAAGAAGTTAATGAGTTTTGAATTTGGGATTACTTGGCTAAATTGAAATAAAAAACGTGCGCAGCTAATATTTTTCTTGTGCAGAATATAAGCGGAAAACTCAGCAGGATCAGACATCTTCACTGCTGAAAATTTTATTTTCAATAGCAAAAAAAGAATAAAACTTCGAAAACTTATGTGAAAATCTATCATTTTTAAACCAAAACTAATTCAAATACTTTACAGGGCAGTCGGAAAAGTATTTAGAACTTCACCCTGATACGAGCAGTCCTGCTTTTTTTGGTATTGAAATTAAGCTCAAAATGAACAATACCGCTCTTATTAGGGCAAACCCTTGCATGTCTGGACTACCCACTAACGTTAGTGAAAAAGTTTGGTCTAAAAATTGATTGGATAATAAAGGAAAAGAACAAAATTTGGAGTTAAATTTTAGTTTTTTTTTGTTTTATCCCCCACACGCAAAATTAAGTTATATATGATATATTTAGCTTGTGGTAACGTGTTAATTAGATCAAATTGCCTGGCTCATTCAATTATCGATGATTTAACATGCCGCTTTAGCTTAAATAGGACGAGTTTTTTGCGCGTTACATATTTTAATTGGCCCGATTGATCATTTTCAAACACCCATAATTTTTCAAAAAAATGCTTGCAGGTGGTATAATTTTTTTTATTTTGAGCTCAAGGCATCACTTAGTTTTCAAGCATGACAGTTTGAAACATCCCGTCCTAAAGGCCAGGTAATTCGAAATTTGTTCAAAGAACAAAACGACACCGAGCATAAATAATCTGTCTTTTTTTCAAAGGCGGACCAATTAAAAAAGTTTACATAGTATTAAAAAGTAGTAAAACCTGATTATGCGACCCTGTTTATTTCTCATTTACTCCTCTTTTTGCTTTTCCAGTGTCTTGGAAGTTTTTTAAAATAAGCGTTTTTGGTTACAAATCATTTTTGGAAGGACTTTATTATGATACTATTCTCAGCCATTTTAAAACTTCTCGGACTAACCTGGAAACAACTCAAATCTCCGCTCGGTGACAGTGGTCGGAAATTTAAAAAAATCTTAATTTGAACTCATGAGGTTTTCATAATTTACAATTCCATCATAATCTGACCTATTTTAAGCGCATTTTAACAAGTTATGCCTGAGTATGGAAACTTAGGCGCAAATAACTTAATATTAGTTGTTTGATATTGGCTCTTTCATATGAAAAATAAAAATAAGAATATCAAAATTTACATAGTAACAAGTTTTGTTTCATTAAAAACTGTTCAAAACTAGTAAAAAAGCAGTTGGAGCATTTATGCTTTCGCCTTGATACGTGCTGTTTTGTTTCATTTGAAAGTAATTTTTGAAAGCCTGAACCAAAAAGAAAAAATGAAAAAATGTGCAATCTGAAATTTAGAAACATTTTTAATTGTAATGAAATTCAGTAAACTCATGGTGGTTCCAAAATTTACAATTCAATCATAATCTGAACTATTGATGCAGCTTTAAGAAATTATGTGAATGGATGAAAAATTAAGCGCGAATAATTTAAGCGTGGCTGCTTGATATTGGCTGTTGGGGGTGAAAAAAATATATCAAATTTAATATGTATTAAAAATTGTGTCAATGAAAACAGTTGGAAACTGAAAAAATCATAACCAATAGACAGTTGTAAGAGAGTCAGTGAACGCAAGTAAGCAGAAAAATTTACCGACTTGCATTTTCGAAAATTCTCAATTTTCGAATTTCCGATAAAAAATAAATGGTCTTCTAGCTCTTTGTTTTGTAAAAACTTTTTTGATGAAATGAACCCAATATGCGGAAACTGGATCAAAAGTGTAGTTTTATTTGGCTGATAGTTTCCATTTTTGAAATTGAAAGTCG